AAAACACCAGCACAAAGGTCAAGTCAAAGGCATCCATCTTGCGCATGTTTACATAAAAAAAAAAATCAGACAGAAACAATGACAAAGCAGTACAATAATCTTTACAGCAACTTCTTGGTTTGAACATTTCTCTCTTTAGTGATTGACAGATTAAAGTATTTCATGCTAGGTGATTTTTGTACTAAGTAATGTTACGAAATGTACTTAGCAGCTAGTTATTAGTCTGCAATCATGATGTGCATTTTCATATTCATTAACTTGATGTCAAAAATGTGGCTTCTTGAGTCAAACATTCTTTTACAAGTGAATATGTTTCTGATCAATTGATTAATGGGTTTCACTTTAGGTTATTATCGGTCTGCTGCAAACTTAGCATCTAATCGGTAGTCATCTGCAACTATGACTTGCATTTTCACATTCCATATCCTGACGTGATTTAAGCATTATGTTTCGAGTATTCTCTTCATATGGTGATATTGAAGGACTACTATATTTGGGATTGAATGACTACTTCATGCTTAGCAGCTAATTGTTAGCCATCTGCGGATATAATGTAGCCTACAATCTCAAATTCAGTATCTTGACGTCAAATTCAGCATCTTTGTTCGAACATTCTATTCATATGGTGAAGATATTTGAGATTGAGTGAATATTTCATGCTTAGCCTTTTTTGTTGCTGACGTGCAGACTGTGCTTAGCAGCTAATTGTTAGCCATCTGCAGATGTAATGTAGCCTGCAATTTCACATTCAGTATCTTGACATCAAATTCGGATTCTTAGTTCCAACTTTCTCCTCATACAAGTGAAGATTTTTTTTTTTTTTCTGACTGACTGATTAAAGAGATCCATGTTTGATCACTTTTGTCACTGCATGCCAAAGTGGCTAATCATTAGCCATCTGCAACAATGACGTGTGTTCTCACATTCTGTATTATGAAGTCAAGTTTGACTTCTTGGTTCGAATATTCTCTTACAAGTGAAGGCATCTGAGACTGAGTGAAGTATTTCATGCTAGGCTATATTTGTTCCCAGATAGCACGCATACGCCTAAAAGATGTCTGTTAAAGATCACTCCATCTGGAAAGCATCTGCTGTTTACAAACATCTGATAAACGTCTTTAAGATTACAGTTTGACATACATTCTAAATCATAAATGTCTTAAATACATTTTTTAAACATCTATTTGACATCTAATAGGAAACGTCCTGTAGACATATTGCAGATGAGCAAACACTCTAAAAAATACAGATGTAAATGCAGACGTCAAATAGACATCTCCGTGATGTATGTGTGCTATCAGGGTTGTCATGTTGTGCTAGTTAGCGTCTATTCATTAGCTATCGGCAATCATAACATCTCAGAAACCTCAATATATTAACTTCAAACAGCTTCTTGTTTTAAACATTATCCTCACTCAAGATTTTCCAGGCATCTCATCACCGAGCAGCTGCACAATTTCACCCTGATTTTTTTTTTCCCCCATCCCGGGCTTGTGCTGTGTCTTGTCCTCTTGTTGGATGTCAAGTGTCCACTCTGTCTCCAAGAGAACTGTGGTTAGGTGGAGTGTAGTCGGTGCCCAAGAGAGTTACAGTGTGGGCGAATGACGACTGTGGAGAGTATCTGAGCTCAATTTGAGTGAATTTTCTCTCTCTGTCTCTCCATCTCGCTCTCATTTTTATTTTTTTTTTCAGATTGTCCTCTTTGTCCCCAGAGAAACCTAATGTAGGATATTTTACCGTACAGAATTGTGGGTTCCCGTAGGGCCGGTCTGACAGTACACCCAGATAGGTGCAAATTAAAGAGGGAAGGACAATAGCAGAGGTGAGAGAAAGAGAAAAGGAGAGAGACAGTGGCAGCCTCAATAAAACATATGGAAAAAATATCCACCTACTCCAATGAATCTAGTTATTGCTGAAGACATTTTGTTCTGTGCTGTGGTTTTGTTCTTTTTAGTTTAATTTTACTTCTCTCATTTGCAACGCTGTGGTTGCGAATGTGCATTTTGGTTTTATAGATTGCTTTTGTTGTTCGTCAGAGTGTGTGCATGTGTGTGTCAGCCTGTAACAGGTGTTTATCTGTTGCTGATGCTGTTGTTTCTGGTCTTTATTTCGGGGGGGGGGGCTGTTGTCTCACCTGATCATTTGATTTAATTACAGGAGAGAACAGAGAAGCCTGTCGTAATTAGCTGATTTGAGAAAATGCTCTAATCCATGCAGGTGCTTTCTGCCTGTGATAAACACACGCATTCATAAACATTAGGAATAGGAGATATCGCTTGTTTTCTTTTTGATCCTACAAAATTCTAGTAAGGCCAACATAGTCAATATCGATACCAGTGCTGATACATGAATGTAAAGCTCTTCGAGATTTCCAAGCATAAAATGGTCTATCATCTATCTGTCTGTCTGTCTATCATGATTTACCTTGTGGAACTGGAGCAGTTTTCCATACTATTTTCAACTTATACAATTTATGCCTCCTTGTCAATGATCTCATCCAATGAAATTTTAGTGTGGGAGGGGCAACCTGGCCCAACCTCAAAGAAATAGAAACCAACACATGTTTTTATTGCTTGATTCTTTATTGCATTGACTTGACCTTTTATTATAATGATAAATGATAACATTCTACTTACGTAATGATGCAAATGCTGGCTGGCAAAAGTTTATGTTGAATGCTTGTTTTGCCCAATATGGCACTTACTGTTTGAGTTTCATAGATGATCCATCCATATGTCCATCCAATTCCGTATATGCATACATTTCCATTTAGAATGGATCAAGTTATATGTGTCCTGAACAGTGATTTTCAGCATTTGAGAGAAAAGAGAAATACATACACAACTGATTGCTAACAAGTTAATCTTTTTGGTCACACCTTATATTAAGTGGCTTTAACTACTATATAATTACATAAAAAATAAGTACAATTTACTTATTGTGTTCATATTGTATTGCAAAACACTTTTGCTGCTATTGAGGTGGGATACGGGTAAGCTTAGGGTAAGTTTAAGGATGGGTTAAGGAGTAAGGGATAGGTCAACAGTGTAATTGTACATGTAATTACTTACATGTTTTACATGAAATTAATTACAGATGTAATTACATGCAGTTGTTTTTTTGTTTTCTTTTATATTAGTACAATGAAGAAACATGTATGTATACAATACGTTCATTGTACCAAATGATTAATTTAAATGTAAGTGCATAGTAGTTAAGGCCACCTAATATAAAGTGGGACCAAAAAAAAAAAGATTCTTTATAGAATCAGTCATTTTAACTGTGAATTGATTGTCTTAAAACAGCATTAGTGTAAAAAATATATCCAGAGAAAATATCCATAAAAGACGTGTAAACAATCTCATTGTCTCTCTGTAAAGAGTAACCTGTGTGTGTGTGTGTGTGTGTGTGTGTGTGTGTGTGTGTGCCAGCAGGGAGCTATTTTATAGATTATCCATCTCTAGAAGCTTATGGTCCAATAACACAGTCTACAGTAGCCCTGGGCTCATGTACAATAGGAAGGGGAAATGGTGCCTGACGCAAACAGCCTGTTTCGCACCAGATGGAGGGGTCAGTTACTCAGCTTGAAAAAAACCCTGTTTTGCTGTATTGCACTTCCCCAGGGTGTGTGTGTGTGTGTGTGTGTGTGTATGAGATCTAATAAATGTGTGTGCAGCCTCTGTGTTAAAGGGTTACTTGGGGCCAGCAGGGAGCTATTTTATAGATTATCCATCTCTAGAAGCTTATGGTCCAATAACACAGTCTACAGTAGCCCTGGGCTCATGTACAATAGGAAGGGGAAATGGTGCCTGACGCAAACAGCCTGTTTCGCACCAGATGGAGGGGTCAGTTACTCAGCTTGAAAAAAACCCTGTTTTGCTGTATTGCACTTCCCCAGGGTGTGTGTGTGTGTGTGTGTGTGTGTATGAGATCTAATAAATGTGTGTGCAGCCTCTGTGTTTCCAATTAAATGCTTGAAATGAAAGATACCTGCTTCACAGCAGATTTTGTCTGCATGTATGCGTGTGTGTTGAATATTTTGCGTGTGCATGCCCTTGGTGTACAGTTGTTACACTTGTTACAATTGTGCAAAGAGTCCATGAGCTTTATTGATGTGGTCCTTATGGAGTGATTCATTTCACTGCATACTCAGTTACGCACAGCTGTTCACATGAGAAATGATACTATTAGCACAAAGGTTTGTTTAAAAAAAATCTATGAAGCACCTATTTATATTGTTATATTATAAGTTATTCTTAATGCATTATATATTTATAATATCTTATATGTATTTGTGATGAGGTCAATGACACATAAGAGTGTACAATATGAAGGAAAAACGTTTTTAAATGTTAAAATCTAGTCAAAAAAAATCTATAGCTTGTATTTCTATTGGTTTTATTTTAAATTTAAATTTAATTTATTTTTTTATGAGGTCATGCGATGTAGGCTAACCATCAAGTAACACAGTTTGAAGTTACACTTCGAATATGTTAATGTGCACATTTGAATCATTATTGTTAAACAAACAAACAAATAAATAAATAATTTCAAAAGATTGAATTATTTCCTAAATATCATTACATTTTTGAAGGCTGTACCACATGTAAAAGTCACAATAAAATATAATGCCAAACTTCCTTTCATGAATGTATTATTTGGAATTAAAATGTATTCAAATCACTGTATAAAAGTATTATAACATCAGTAAGGTGAAATGCATATTTATCTATGGTTTATGGTTTATCACTACGGATTATAACATGATTTATTGACAACACATTATAATGCACTGAGAATTAATTTGTTGCATCATTATATATAAACTTTCTAGAAGCAGTATTTCTTTACTACATTAAAATAAACAGTCAAAAATTGTGTGCGAGAGAAAATGTAAAATTAATTTACTTTTACATTAGTTAGTGTGAGCTAGAGAGGATAAGTGTGTGTGTGTGTGTGTGTGTGTGTGTGATGGATTGAAAGGGTCTATAAGAGGATATACCCCCTGCAGTTATATTGATCTCCGCAGGTCTCTGCCTCTGGACCCCCCACGCTGGTCTTTTGACTGACTTCAGGAGTCCAGCTCCGGCTAACAAAGAGCCCTACACCAACCCTAGACACACTGTGACCCTTTTACCCCCACCCTGCTGCCCCCACACCAAGAGCCCCACCGCTGAGAGTTAAAAAGCCCCCTGCCACGCACTGACATTTCATTCAGCAGGAATTAGAGAGGTCTGAACTTCCCTTACACTCCCTTGCACACACACACTTATGACAGTGTATTATTTCGCTCTATTTCAAGGTGTAGCCTTTTACACTGCAGCACAGACTCTTCCACAGTTTTATTATATCTTTGACACACTATCAAAAAGATAGAATGTTTTTATTGTAATAATATTTATTAGAATAATTTTATTTCATTTATTTGAAATGGTAGTATAAATAACAAATAATTCTAATAATTTTTATTTTATTACATTTGACCATATATTTTATATTCTCCATTTGACATGTTGACAATTTTATACTATACTATCCACATTTCACACATTGCATGATACTCTAATGTAAAAATAATTAAGGGGTGTAATTAAACTTATATTTTAATTACTTTTTTTCTGATAAACTTTCTTATTTTAACAATTTTATTGCATTAATTACATTGTTTGCTTATTTCGACATGCAATAGCACAGGAAGTGTGTTGTATAGCTTTTCTCATGCAGCACTGTTAAAACTAAGCATTTGCATATATCAAAAAATCGAATTGTACGTGCTTAAATGTCCAGTATTTTATTTATAGTGCGCCACTTGACATTTGGCATATCTAGCATTTGTTTATTTGTAGTTTCCCATTTGATTGCAGATAATTGCAAAGTTAATATTGCCTACATTACGTGTCACCTTTCAGATCACACATTGCTGTATGTGTTTTGCATGCATATTTGTATGTGTTTTACACCCTCAGATGGCAGTTGACGCATATTTTTCTATGAGCGTTCTCCTCCGCTCTGTGTTGCCATAGAAACAGCTATGAGTCCTATGTTTGGCGAAGTGTCAGTGAATCATCTGCTCTCTTCTGATTGGTCACCATTTCCTAAAGTGATCCTTGCATGGCTGACAAACAAACTCTTTAATTGACTAATCAAAACCAGCTTGGATAGAGATTGCGAGGATATGAACATGCATTTGAACACAGTCTTGCTTGTGTTTACTGGGCTTTAATGGTTTTTAAAGTTTCCACATCAATTATCTCCACTAATAGATGGCTATGGCCATATGGTATCATGATAATAAACATCTACTATTCCAAGTCTATTCCAAGCCTCAACAACAATGATTTTATTAAAAATCAAATAAAAAATTCTCATAGGGCTTTTCAATAAGAGAGTAATGGCCATTCACACCAAGGATGATAACTATTACCAGTGATGGGTAGATTATTTAGAAATTGTAGTCCATTACTGATTACAAAGTACATTGTGAAAATTGTAGTAAGTAACATAATCTGGATTACACACATTAGGTAATGTAGTCTGACTACTTTTTGATTACTTTTAGATTACTATTGACCTAACTCATTTATCACATAGACTTGAATGGGATTTGAGAGAGAGAGAGAGAGGGATCCAGGTTTCATATATTTCTGTCCTGACTTCCAGAATTAGTAATTAGTGAAGTTCACATGATATTATGAAGACATAGTATTTCACAGCAATGCATCGACAGTGTTTAATAACTTGCAATTATATGCAATTATTAGTCTCATACATGGTTTAATTGATTGAGTGGTGCTTTTGTTCAGAAGCATGGATTGCTAATTTATACATAGTATACAAATAAAATGTGTCCATTAATTGTCCAACTTACTAGTGGAAGACATGTGCAATTACACAGAAAAACTGGAAGACTGCCCAAATGTATACAAGTGGTAGGTTCATGTAGAAAGGAAATGTTACTAAATAAATAAATAAGAATTGAGTTTAATCAATAAATTATGAATAAGTTTTACTGTCATTGTGTAAATATGTAATCATGTAATCTAAAAGGTAACTGTAATCTGTTTATAAACATTTTAAAATCTCATTACAAGTACTTACTTTTTGGGATCTGGTTATGTAATGTAGATTACATGTAATCAGTTACTACCCAGCACTGACTATAACTAAAACATTATGGTTACACTTTATTTCGATAGTCCACTTTAGACATTCTATTAACTATAAGTAACTTTGTAACTACATGTCAACTAATTCTCATTAATTTGCAACTAGATGTCTACTAGCTCTCAGAGTAGACTGTTAGGGTAGGTTTAGGGTTAGTAGAATAAGTTGACAAAGAAAGTGTTAGAAGAAATGAAGCAGACAGTCTACTAATACTCTACTAACTGCTAGTTGACATGTAGTTGCAAAGTTACTTACTGTTAATAGAATGTCTAAAGTGGACTATGGAAATAAAGTGTTACCAAAATTATTTTCAATAATCATTGTAATTATATGAGAATAAGGACATCCACACCACAGCTACAAGAATAACAACACACAGGTACGATATTGTTGTAATCACTTTCAGGATGATTACAATATGACCTTCAAACAATATGAGCAAAAAATGTGTAGCAAACAAAAATATTATGTAAAACAAAACATTTTTATTTTATTTTATTTTAAATATGAATGAGTGAAATATATTTATAGTTGACATTTTTCTCACCTGTCTACTATCTTTGAATTAGATTTTTTCTTCTTCATTGGTTTCATTGAAGTGCATTTTGGGATTGCTTTCTTCGCAAATAATACATGTAATATATTATTAATTAGTTAGCTTCAAAAAATAGGATGATGCCATTACCTTTTGTAACAGGTTATGTCGGGAACTTCTTGTCTAGTTAGGTAGGTTTTGGAATAGAGCTTAACTATTTGTTATTAGCATTATGTAAGAGTTCAGAGTTCTTTTATACTTTTCTCTCTCTGTCTCTCTCTCACTCACTCACTCACTCACTCACTCTCTCACACACACACACACTTTCTGACTTGTCTGAAACTTCTCAGTTTATGGTCTTAGTGAATACGAAT